TGGTTTGGCTGTTTCTCACAGTATTAAAAATGTCTACAGGTGAGGGGAATGTGCTCCGCAAGAGACATGAGAAATGGCAGCACAAGAATGTGAACGGCGAAGGACTGTGGATTTGCTTAAGAATAAAATGGCATTGATAGGAGAGGAGGCAGCTCAAGAATGCAAGCTGTAAGGTGCTGTGGAGGAAGTAAAAGATTTGTTAAAAAATGAAATGGTGTTGCTGCAACGCACTGTGGAAGAGGAAAAGGCCCGTGGAGGAGAAGGATGTACCCTGGTGAGAAGCACAAGAGGCAGTGTGAGAACATGAGCTGTGAGTTTCTGTGGAGGAAGTAAAAGATTCTTTGCAGAATGAGACGGTGCTGCAAGGTGCTCTGAAGGAGGCAAAGGCCCTGAAGGAGGCAAAGGCCATGGAGGAGAAGGATGTACTCCTGTATTGATAATCAGTTTATCAATTGCTGTGCACAGATTTAAATGCCAATTAGGGCTCCATATGCAAGATACACCACCATAAGCCACAGTTGTTTAGTATACTTTCATTTTATTAAAAGAGGAGTAGGAGGATAAGGAAAAAGGAGGAAACAGGGAAGTTGCGGGGAAGACAAAAAGGAAGAACAAGAAAGAAAGAAAGAATCAGTCTGTCGTATTACTAGGACCCCATCATCAGCATCGGAAAACAAATCATCACGGGCAAGTCTCAGAGGAGGACGATAAGGCCGCAGTACTCCAAGAACGATTGAGGGAAGGCTGCTTGTGGTTTCTCTAAGCTGATATTTATGCTAGTTTAAACAAAAGAGGCTCAGTGCAATAGGCATATGCATGAGTCACGTATGGTCACGGATCTGGCCAGGAGCCGGGGCCGCGTTCATCACTCGCTGTTATAGAAATGTCCTGGGCGCGTTTCCCAAGGTAGTTATCCCAGGCACATAGCCCAAGGACAAGCATCTCTGGCACACAGCCCAGGGTGTTTGTTCCCTTCTCCCTGAGGAGTGGCCAGCTCCTTTGGGAAAGGGGTGCATACCTTGAGCCTGATAAACTCGAATGACCACGAGCAGGCCTTAACATTCTATACTTCATTACAGCTCCTGAAAGAAGCACAGGAAGAGGCAGCACGAGACTGCCAGCTGCGAGGTATGGAGGTGAAGGCAAGAGAGCTGTTGGCTGAGCTAGCATTGCTGTGAGTCACTGTAGAAAAGGTAAAGGGGGTAGCAGAGGAGGTACTCAGGGGAGTGGAAAGGAAGGTGCCATCAGCCCTGGAAACAGGAGGAGCCTGGGAAGGATGAAGGGGTGGTGCTGGAGGCATGGACCCCTACTCTATTTGAAAGCCCACAGAGTTGCAGTAAAGAAATAAAGATGCAGCAACTGTGGGTCCTCTGGGAAAAGTGTGTCCCCCTCCCCAGATCATGGAGCACTATACTCAGGTTATGCTGGTAGATTTGGGCTTCCAATTTTGGCAGAAGCCCATGGAGTCAATATCAGCTTGGCTCTTACATCTTTGGGATGTAGTGGGAATGGAATTGCTCTGTCTGCATCAGAGATGGGAAAGCTGGATTCCCTGACAGTTCATCCTGCCTTGATGCAGTGATTACAAAATGCACACCAGACCCCAGAAAGTCTCTCCCTCCTTGATTGGCTTATGGCTGCTCTTCACCCTGGATGGTCCAATCAGGGTGATTTATCATCCTCTCCTGCTAGATGGCAAAGATATGCTGAGCTCCAGCAGGTGTTAAGGGAGTGAGGCCATGAAAAATGCCATCCATAGTCCAGAGAAATATGGTCCATATGAGGAGCCTTTTACTGCAGGGATGAGAAATATGGTGCTTCAGACAGCTCCCATGTCCCTCTTTGGGTTGCTAGTGGCCATTCTTGTCCCTCACTTAAGGCAACCCATAAGTAAGGTTACCCATATGGTAGCAGACTTGGGAGAGGCTGAAGCAATGATAACACAGAAGGAAATATGGTCTGCTACTCAGAGGAAGAATTTAAAGGGCCCTTTGAAGGTCACAGGGACCCAGATGTGGGTCGATTTAATAGGGGAAGGAGCAGACAGAGAGAAATTAGGTGGGGAAGTCAAATAGAATCTTACTGGAGCTATGACAAAAATTGAAACTGGAGCAGCAGTTCTGGCTTTGAGGACCAAGAAGCAGAGGCCAGAGACAGAGCCACAAGTTTGGCCTGTGTGTTTGTAAGACTTCCTGCTAGAGAGTGAGCCAGCCTCACCTGAACCCACACAGGAAGATCATTAGAGGACTCGATTTGACTGAGGGGAGGGTTAAGGTATCTGCCCTGAGGGACTTGGAGGGGACCAGGGGTCACTTGTTGAAATATCAATTTATTGGTACCCAGTGAATGTTCAACACATCCCAGCTCCTGTAGATGCAGGAGCTGAATGTTTACTGATTTATGGCAACCCTGAGTGGTTTTCAGGGACCCCCACTGTTATAGTTGGATACAGAGGTAAGGCTATCAGAGTGAAACAAGCCTGAATTCCATTGGGAATAGGGCATCTACACCCAAAGGAATATACTGTGTATATCTCTCCAATCCCTAAATATATTTTGGGGATAGATGTCCTCCAGGGCCTATGGTTGCAGACCACTGCAGGTGAGTTTAGACTGAGGATATGTGTGGTAAAGGCAGTTCTGAGTGGACATGCTAAGTAAGCACCTGCCTGTATCTTTTCTTGTGCATCAGCACGTGTCTAATGCCAAGCAATACAAATTCCCTGGAGGGCATAAAGAAATTGGAGAACCCCTCCAGGAACTGGAAATGTGGGTACTATAAAGCCTACTCATAGCCCTTTTAATCCCCTGGTGTGTCTGGTAACATATTGAGATGGCTCCTGGCATATGACCGTGGATTACAGAGAATTGAATAAAGTCATACCGCCTCTGTATGTGTCATCTCCTCTATTGCATACTTGACGGATACCCTGAGTCATGAACTAGGAACATATTCACTGTGTTGTGGATCTTGCTAATGCCTTCTTTCCCATTGAAATAGAACAAGAAAGTCAGGAACAATTTGCCTTCATGTGGGAAGGGCGGCAATGGGCTCTCACTGTCCTTCCACAGGGAAACCTCCACAGCCCACCGTCTGTCATGGACTTGTAGCCCAGGACTTGGCAGCACCGGAGAAACCATCAACAGTGCAGCTGTTCCATTATATTGATGATATGCTAATGTCTGGTTCTCTTTCAGATCTAGAAGGCGCAGCACCTAGGCTGCTGCAACATGTACAGCAGAAAGGATGGGCTGTCAACAGCACCAAGATTCAGGGACCTGATTTGTCAGTCAAATTCTTGGGGGTTGCCTGGTTGGGGAAGACTGAAGTTACCCCAGAAGCAGTCATAGATGAAGTCCAGGCCTTCCCTATCCCTGCAATGTGGCGTTGTTACAGGAGTTTTGAGTCTTTCAGGCTACTCGAGTGTTTATCTTGCACTTGGCACAAGTTCTGAAGCCCTTAAACTGTTTCGTTTATAAGAGCATCGGGTGGGACTGGGATGAGACATTTGTGTCTGCTTCTACCGCTTCGAGGAAACTCCACCCGCCGCCGGTACCCGCCGCGGTCAGAGCCGTCGCGACCACACACCGCGTCTCCTCGCGGGTCCTCGAGCGAAGGCGACGGGTGGCCCTCCACAGAGATTCTTGAGATCGGAGTCGCAGAGAGCGCCGCATTTGCAGAACACGTCCTCAATGTCCTTGCTTTGCATGTCTGGAGGTAAGTTACCTGCGTAGATGTGGCAATCGTTGTTCCCTGCCGGGCCACGAATCACACCACCTCCCGACAAGGCGGCCACAACAAGCGCGGACCCAGGTACCAGCCTGGCCTTCCCACCGAGCCTAGCGCTCGGCGCAGCGAGCCCGCAGGACTCCACGTCTGCCCCATGGCAGAGTGTTTCTGAGATTTATCCTTGGTGCCTGTATCAGAGTCTTCCTTTTTTTTTTTTATCAGAGAGTGGTGTGCTAACGTGGATACATCCGTTTGGTCATCCATTCTCCTACTGATGAACATTTGAGTTTTTCCAGTTAAGGTACAATATTTTTAAACCAGAATTTTGTTCATGATATTTACCAGCTTTAAAGTGTTGTCATCTGGTCATTGTCAGCTGCATAATGCAATTAACCAAAACTTGAATTTCTTTTTTTGTTAGTAATACCGTCTGGCTGCCTGTTAGAATCATCTGGGGTGCTTAAAAAACAAAACCCAACAATCAGGCCACACCTGAGACCAATTAAATGAGGATCTCTGGAAGTGGGGCCCGGAGGCAGTGGTTTTGAAGCTCCCTGGGCGATGGCACTGTGTGGCCAGTCGGGAGAGCTCATACATGGTCTTCCAGAGACTGGGCAGGCTGGGAATGTTGCTCGTTAGTCTTTCACTTCCTGAAGTAACTGCGTCTCACTCCTCTTAAGTTTGGTATTTTTTTCTTCTCTTGAATTTGATGACATTCAGATTTCATCTCTCTACTTGTGTTTTTTCTTTAAGGGCTTTTGTTTTCCTTCCTAAAGTATTGTTAAGTTCCTTCTTACAGGCTTTCCAAGTCCCCTTTACATTCTCTTCTCTCTCAGTTCCCCCAGATAACAGGTAGTTTTTCCTTGCACTGACCCTGAAGCCTCCTAGAAGACTGCATTTTAAAGCCCAGGCACCTCTTCAGGTAAGTTCTCCTTTTATGCATTGATTTATTCAAAATATGTCTTCTAATAGGTGGAGCATCTTCAGACTCATCCATTTACCGTCTTGTTCTGTCTTCTCCTGTGCTGTCTTGTTTCTTTGCTGGGCCATGACCCTGACATTCTCATTCACCTTTGCTTCAGTTCCAGGGTCCTCTGGGTTTTGCTGCTTGATCCTGTATGGATCTTGGGAAGCAGCTGATGGGACATCTTTCTCCACTGTCGCGGCTGTCTGTACCTGACCCAGAGAGCATTCCCTCCAAAGGTGAGTACTCCCCCTACCTCGCTTCTGTGCCTCCCAGGTGCGGATCTAGAGCAGTTGAGTTACAGGGGCAGAAACCTGGGCAGGAGAACTGAGAGATTCCAGTATTGGACTGGGGCAGGTTAATGGGCATTTCAGCCCCAGGTCCTGGCAATAAGGCAGCACTTGGTGTGTGGAGATTTGTCATTGTAATGTTGCCTTGTGTTGATTTAGGTTGTCTAGTTTGAATATCTATTGTTTTCCCTGTTTAATGATTTCCCACCTTTAATCTTATATCTGTGGCTTCTTTCTTAGATCCCTGCAAGGTTGCAAAATGTAAAATAGATGAGACAGATGTAGAGAATTTAAAAACAATAATAAAACTGATGAGCTTTTCTGTTTTTTATTGTAAAACCTTGCAATGGCAATCCTAAAACATGGCAGTGATAAAATGCTCCTCCCACTGCCCCCCAAAATCTTTTGCTACAATTGCTGTTGAATTTCAATTAAAAAACAAGTCTATCTGTGTGCTTAAAATTAGCACACTTCTATTATTTATCTTTAATAGTCTGCATGGAAGCTAATTTGGAGAATCCATGATATATACAGTAGGAAAACTCCCCCAACACCGGCACATAAACTCCGCTGCGTGGGTTCATTTGGAAAGTATGTCTTTAAAGGTTTGAAATCCTACGAGCTCACTTCTGTTGTATTTTGTGTCTCCAGCCCAAATGTTCTAGATATTCCTGTATTTAATTAGTGAATATGAAATAATGATGTCACAGTGATTGTAAAAATGAGGAAACAGAACTGGAATCACTTCAATTTTGTCAGTTTATATGATCACTTATGTTTTAATTTTGTAAATTTAAAACATGTAAATGGAGTGTAAGGTGTTTTTTTAATGAAAATATTTATTCATACATGGACTATTCCACTTGACTGAATATTTTTAAATTTTGAAATTATTCCTTTTGTCTGTAAAACTGAAGGATGAATCAAGAAATGATTACTGATTGGAACATGGTTATTGCTGAAAATAATTTGGTTTATAGAGAAAAAAGTGTTTAAATGAATCTCCCCCCCGGGTATCAAGTGGGCAAATGCCAGTGAGCACAGATGCCAGAGCCCTCGATGGGGTATCCTGGGAGATTTGCTCCATCAGACCTTTTGTGTTGACTTCTCTTGGATGGCTGAATTTCACCTCGAGTGTTTTCCTCGGGAAGAGCCCATGAAAACAATATTCCTTGAGTTTTGTATATTCAGTAACGTTTGGGAAGAGTATAAATGTCTTGGGTTACATTTGCTTCCTGCAGGATTTTGAGGCCTTACTGGCTCCCCTGTCTTCCAACTGAATACAGGTGTAGGGATGTGTCAGCCCAGCCTTTTCTTATATGTGACTTGGTCTGTTTTCATGTCAGTTCAAAGCATTCATTCCAGTAACTTTGAAGTTCAGTAACTAGCATTTGGAAGAGTTGGCCATTTATATCCACTTTTCCTGGGGCATGGCCTCTCAAGATATTTAATCATGTATTTTCTTACTGCTGGAAGCAGTTTCAGGGTTCTGTCTTTGAGTCCATTCTTTGAATTTGCTTCCTGGGGGACACCAATCACATATATATTGGCTTTCTTACCCATTTGCTGCATAGGTCATTTCCTTTTAAGTCTTCTTCACTATTTCCATGTCATCTGACGCACTCTTCACATTCTGGCCCTCCAAACCCCCTTCTGTGTTTTTGCAGCATCTATGTTCCCTGTGATACTCTCAATTTCATTTTCTCTTCCTGCTGCTTTAATTTTCTTCTTTTACTTGTCTTCTAGGTTTCGTCAGCTCACATTTTGCTCCCTTTGTTGCCTTGTTCTCCTACATCTTTTTACGCTTATCTCTGTGCTCTGGTTTCATGGAAGAGTTTTTTTGTTTTGTTTTTTTTTACATTTAAGAGAAAATATTGAGTTTTCCCCTGCTCATGGGTAACAATTTTCTAGTAAGTGGTCTGTGGCTTTCACATTTACCATGCTTCTTCTCTCCCCTTTCTCCTTCTAGCGTCTTTGTGTAGGATTTCCACTGCTTCCTCTTTGATTATTTATCTTTGATAGAGGTGAGTTTTCAGGTGGAACAAGAAGAGCTGGGGCCCTTCTCTAAACCAGCCAGAATCTTCTTAATGGCCTGGGGTTATTATAGCCTTTCCTTTTCCCCAGCCAGTGGAAGCCGGCAGCCACAGGGGTAGTCACAATGCAAAGCCATTAGTATTGGCAAAAAACAGCAGAGTAAGGATTTCCAAAAATTCCTTCCTCCATAAACGCAATGAAGCAATGAGGAAACTGGCAGAATTAACTTTTCCAAACCCTGGAAATTAACTAAAGGCTTATGGCAATTCAGGAAGTGCTTATGCAAGAAAAACTGCTGAATTTCAGTAAGAACAGTGAGCTTTTCAGTGTTTTTTTTTTGTTAGCTTTTTATGGTTGTGAAATACACATAACAAAATTTACCATCTTAACTGTTTTTATTGATGCACATAAATAAAATACACTAATTTAGTGTACAGCTCAGTGAATTTTGCCCTGTGTATACACTTATGTAACCACTACCAGATCAAGATATTGAACATTCTTACTAGTTTTTTTTCCTCCACACATATTTCACCCATATACCTACCTCCCTCTCCTATGGCAACTACCAGTCTGTTCTCCATGTCCGAGTCCATTTCTGTTTTGTTTGTTCATTTGTTATGGTTTTCAGATTTCACATATAACTGAAATCACATGGTATTTGTCATTCTCTGTCTTACTTATTTCGCTTAGCATTACACCCTCCAGGTCCATCCATGTTGTCACAAATGGCAAGATTTCACCCTTCTTATGGCTGGCTAATATTCCACTGTATATATGTACCTTGTCTTCTTTATCCATCTATTGATGTACACTTAGGTCACTTCCTATTTTTGGCTATTGTAAATAATGTTGTGATATACATAGAAGTGAGTGTATCTTTTTGAATTAGTGATTTTATTTTCTTCAGATAAATTCCCAGAAGTGCAATTACTGGGTTGTATGGAATTTCTACTTTAGGTTTTTGAGAAAACTCCATACTGCCTTCCATAGTGGCTGCACCAATTTACAATCTCACCAGCAGTGTACAAGGGTTCCCTTTTCTTCATGTCCTTGCCAACACTTGTTGGTTCTTATCTTGCTAGTATTAGTCACTCTGACTGGTGTGAGGTGATATCTCATTGTGGTTTTGATTAGCATTTCCCTGATGATTAGTGATGTTGAGCATCTTTTCATGTGTGTGTTGCTTATATCTTCCTTGGGAAAATGTCTATTCAGGTCTTCTGCCCATTTTAAAATCAGATTATTTGTTGTTTTTTTGGTGTTGAGTTGTAGGAATTCTTTATATATTTTGGATTTTAGTCCCTTATTGGATATATAATTTGGAAATATATGCTCCCATAGAGTAGGTTGCCTTTTTGTTATGTTGACTGTGTCCTTTGCTGTGCAGAAGCTTTTTAGTTTTGATCTGAACTAGCAGTGTATTGTAAAATTTTACATACATATTTTTCAAACTGTGCAAAGTCAGTTCGGTAGGTCATTATAGTGTTTTTATAAAACAAAATAGAAAAGCGAAATAAAATGCTTTGCACATTGGAAGGATAAGTATTTTTTCCACAGAACTTTTATTTTAGAAGAGTATGTGTGTGAATGTGTATGTGTGTGTGTGTGTCTATGTGGGAATAAGATAAAATGTTTCTCACTGTGGTCCCCGGTCTAAAAATTTGAAAGGCATTATACATAACTTCATCAGCAAATAGGTCATATTTTAATCTGGTGTTTAAATTTGGAACTTTCAGTGACCTGGAATTGACTAGGTTACCTAAGGTTACTGGTTGTATGCAAGTTAACCTCAGGCGGTTAGTTGATTTGCTCCTAGCACTAATGTCCACACCCTGGACACTAATCTGTGCAGATTGCCAGGGATTCCCCAGGCTGGAGGCTATTTCCTGGCCAAGCTACAGCCCCTTCCCCATCAGAGTCCCTTCTGCCCCGCTGGGGCTTCATGCCCCAGCCCTACTTCCAGGACAGGGTGGTGGGGGGAAGGGAAGGAAAGCAGTGGCTCCTCCCCTAACCTTGGCTGTTTTCTCACAGGCGAGGATGAATTCCACCACACCTGTGACATTTCAGCCCATGAGGAGACCGCTGCGCATAGGAAGGACACCTCACTGGCACGGAAAGAATCTCAGCTTTCCTGGGTATCTTTATTATGTTGTTATTTTTTAGCTTCCCAGCTTGGTTTATTCTGAACCTGGTTCACTTGGACGACTTGTGCCCCTACTACCTCCCCTGCGTGCATCCTTTCCCCCTACTTCCCAGTTCAGACCCTTAGGGTGAAAGAGAAAGAGACAGAAGTTGACCCAACCTTTGACCTTCACCCCTGAGGGATACAGCTTTTAATGGGGGCCCATCTCGTGGATGCTAAGTCAAGCCATGGTCCATCATTGGTCCACTCAGCTGTGTGGAAAGGTGTTACCTGGTAAAAACACATAGGCTTTCTTATCACAGGATGGGGCTTGGGCCATTTCCTTGGGTGGGTGGGTCTGTCTTGTCTAAAGATCTAAAACTCTTGAAATTATAGAATCATAGGGTTGGGAGGATGTAAAGTCATTTGCTCCAACCCCCTGGGATGCTGGAATCATCTCTACAAGTGACATCCTTCCCAAGTGCTCTTCTAGCTCAGTGCTACTCAAACTTGAGCTGGCATAGAAATCACCTAGAGAACTTGTTAAAGTGGTTTCCTGAGCTGTAACCCCGGAGACTTTGCTGTAGTAGATCTGGGCTGGCGTCTGAGATTGTGCCTTTTTAACAAGCTTCTGGATACTGCTGGTCCGTGGATCGCACTTGGTGTGGTCTTCCCTAGCCTATTCTTTGGCATGTTCGGTCAGGGCACCCTTGCTGCCCTCAGCCATTCTTGGAGGCTTTGTGGAATCCATACTCTGTCTCATACCTTATCCCTGTCCTACCTTCTGCCAAGCTCTGGGCACCCAGGGGGCCACTGACTACTCCCAGCTGTGATCCGCACACTTGACATCTATCTTCTTTGATCCCCAGGGCTCCGATCAGCAGATGGGCTCTGGCAAGGACCCGGGGGCCATCTTCTATGCCTCACTTGCCCCCCTAAAATACTTCAGCCCTGAAGACTCCATCTATGTCAATTGCCCCAGTTGGAAGCCCAAGCCTGAACCCGCTCTGGCTGTGGAATATGCCAGCACGGCTGGAAGCAGACCCCAGCCCTCCAAGTCGGCCACCCTCCAAGTGGAGCCCAGGATCTGAGGGCGGAATTCACTGGGCGGAGAGCACTTACCAAACGCCTACAGGGCACAGGGTGGCTCTACCAGCAAAGGGCTGACTGCAGTGTGGCAACAGTTGCAAACCAGCAAGGGCTCGTGCCTCCCTGCGGAGAGGGGTGGAAAGGACAGCCAAGGAAAGGAGAGCCTTACCGATTCAGAGGGGAGAAGCTTTGAGTCTGAGGGCTGCCACGGGCAGCCTGTGGGGACCCTACAAGGGGTTTCTGGACCCTTCCTCAGGGTCTGGGAGGAAAGCCAAGGGGCCAGAGCCCACCGAGGTAGGGTCTGGGGCCCAGTGCCTCTGATTAACCCAATCTTCATCTCTCTGTGACCCTCCCTTCCTTCCTGTCCAGGGCTGTGAAATCCTGACAGATTGTGCAAGTTGCTCTGGTGGTGACTCTCTCTGTCTGAGAGCCTCCTCCCTTCACTGTCCTCTCAGAGCCTCTAAGCCAGGCAGAGAAAGTCTGTCCCCCCACCCCGCTCCTCCTCTCCTTACAGCCCCCCAGTGCTAACTGATTCTCACAGATGACCCTGCCAGGATGTGGATGGGGGTTTCCCCTGACCCTCAGCCTCGCTGAGCAGGGCGGTGGGGTGATTGCTTCCCTGTGGGAGCACAGCTCCGTCCTGGGCTCCTCCGCCTTCCATGGAAACCGTGACCCACTCTGCAAACTGAGTCTCGGTCAGACACAATGGGCTGAGGGGCACCTCCTGCTCTGCTAAAGTACACTTTCATGGGGCCCTTCTGGAGACAGGGCCCCTTTCTGTTCTGTGCCCTAAGGGGTGTCTGAGCTCTGGGAACTCTGGATTGTTGCAGGCAGACGGGTGGTGTCCTGCCACATCATGGGGAAGATGGCTTGGAACTGCAGATTCATCACTTCTCAAGAGTGGCCTTAAAGGTCGTTGAATCCAACGGGCAGTGGGGTGCCAGAACCGCCCTGTAAAATCCCAGTGAGTCATGCAGTCTCTGCTCTCATCTCTCCGAGGACAGAGAACTCACTGCCTCCTACTCAAGCAGCTCATTTGTGAATATTTTTGTCAGACAGGACATTGCTTTCTCTCAGTCACAATGAGACATCAGCTTTGTCCATAGGATGGGACCGGAGGGTCAGGCTGCAGCATGGCCCGAAAGGAAGTGAGGGGTCAGAGAGGAGAAGGGTGGGCGGGCTGGGGTCTGGCAGGCCTCTGTTTTAGGATGAGGTCTTCCTCTGGGAGGAGGGAGAGGTAAGCACTTGTCACTTGTGACATCTCTGCTGTCTTCATCTACTTCCCAGGTTCCCAGGGTTGAGAATGTGGTGTGTCCCCAGTCTGGAGCTGCATGGGGACACCCAGGAACAACCCCCTGGGTTGGGGTGGGAAGTGGTGGCAGGGGCAGAGCAGGATGCTCTGAGCTTCATCTTTGTGCCTCAGGTCTCTGCCCCGTCCTCCTGCCTGAGTCCTCCTGCAGCCTGGATCTGATTGCTACTGGCTGGGCAATTGCTGCACCCTGGCCTCCCACCCAACAGGACCTTGCTCTGAGGTCATTGGCATTGAACTACTGCATCATTTGACTGCTGGTGCTTTGTAATTCTAGGCTCCTGACAGAATCTTTTAGGGTTCCTGGACCCAATTCCATGTGTGGAGTTGGGGTGCACAGGTTCCCCACACAGGACACCAAGCAATTCTCCAGCACCAGCAGGGTGTCTGAGACTGCAACTCAGTTCTGACCCTACCTGCCTGGAGACAGCACCAGATTCCCCAGGTGAAGGGCTCTGTTCTTGCCCGTCACAAGCCCCAGGCTGTTACCTGTGCTTCTGACCAACCAGCTACAGATTGGAGGTTCCCACGACCTCCCACTAGGTTCTATTACTTTGCTAGAGCTGCTCACATAACTCAGGAAGACACTTATGTTTACCTGTTTAACAAAGGATACTGTAAAGGATACAAATTAACAGCCAGAGGAAGAGCTATATAGGGCAAGAGCCCAATTAAAGGAGCCTCTATGCTCATGGAGCTTGGGGCCTGGCTCAGTAGCACTTGGAAACGTTCTGTTTCCCCAAGGGTGGGAGCTCTCTGATAAGGAAACAGGGTAAGAAAGGGCCAAAACGCTGTTCTCATGGGTTTTCATGAGGGCTTCATTGCATAGCTATGATGGACTAAGTCACTGACCACAGGCTGGCCCAACCTCCAGCCCCTCTTCCTTCTTCGCTCCCTGGAGGCTGGGGCCTGGGGGCTGCGAGGTCCCTCCCTTTAATCACATGGCTGGTCCCCCTGGTAACCAGCCCTGCCCTTGGGTGGGCTCCAAAGGTCAGCTTCATCAATAACAAGACACCCATTGCACCTTTGTGGCTCTGAAGTATTTTCAGGAACTGAGCCTGAAGACCAGATATCTAAGAAATATATTTCTGTCATCTGAATCACCAAATATATATTTCTTACCAATCATTATATTGCCTCTGCTTTGGTCTTCATTTCAATCTACATACCCACCGGGGGAGCCCTTCTTCACCATGTTCTTCCCAGCCTGGGTTTCCTGCCTGCATTGCTCTGGCTGTAGCACCAGGAGCCACCCCAGGGGTCAGGTGCCTCATGAGCTGTCAAAACCCAAAGGATTTCCTCAGACTAGAGCTCCTGGAGCCATGTTTATTAGAGAAGTACTTCTGGGTGCCTGCTGACTGGTAAGCACTGCTCAGGGTTGGGGATACAGAGATTAATTCCAGTAAGCCAACATTTATGGAATGCCTCTCAGGGGCCACATTTATTTACATATATTAATGGCTCAAACATCCTTATAAGGTAAGTACTTTCTCTTCATTTTACAGATGGGGAAATTGAGGCACAGAGAGCTTAAGAAATTTCCCAAAGTCACACAGCTAATCAGTGGTGGATCTCGGCCCCTGATATTGTAGCCACAGTGCTTCTGGTCACTGTTGCTTTAAGGATCTCCATGTGCATGCACACGCATGCACATGCATGGTAGGTACATGTATGCAGAAGTGACAATACAAAGCACTCATGGCTACAGTTACAGGAATGTTAATGGTGCTTGGGGATGGTGGGAGGCATGACTTTCTGATAGAAGCCTCCAGAAGCCAAGAGGAGATAGTTCGAGTTTGACTGACTTAGCTGGGGGTTCAGGGGGCAGCTTTGCAATTAATCACTGGTCCCAGGTAAGAGGACTTAGGTTCCTCCGGCCCACCCTGGCCCAGGGAGAGGTCTGGCCCTTCTGCTACCACCAAAGCCTGAACATACCTTCCAAAGCTGTGACCTCAGGAATGCACATCTTTTTTCATATCTCAACACTGAGGCAAACATGGCCAAGCCACCCCAAGATGCAGGTCCCACAGGAGGTGGTACAACTCCTTGACCCTTGGGACATAAGCAGGCTTAGGCCCGTTGTGTATATATGAATTCCCCACCATTTGAGCCTCATCCTTCTCCCTGAGGGTCTGCCCACCCAATACAAAGTGGGTCCTCCCTTCATTTTGCACCCCCACCCCAGGATCTTTATGCACATGACATCATATGTAAGATTTCATTCATCAACTTGTCTATTTTATCTTTTGGTCATTGTTTTAAGTCACTAAGGTTTGGGATGGTGTGTTATGTAGCACTAAACAAAACAAATAGCCAAGACAAATTTGAAGAACAAGTTCAGGAACCAAGACTTACTGTGAAGTTGCAACAGTCACAATACCATCCTGAAATAGAAAACTGGCCAGGGCAACCGAATGGACAGGTGAGAAACAGACCCGTGTATATTTGGAAACTTGATATTTACCAGAGCAGGCGTTATGAATCGGGGGGAGAGGAGAGAGTATGGAATAGTGCTGGCACAAATGTCCATCCATATGGGGGACAAAGGAGATTAGAGTCCTATCTTACGTCTTACATAAAAATAAATCCCACATGGGTTATAAACCTAAAGTTCATTAGTAATCAAAGAAATTCTAATCTTAACTAAATACATTTTTACCTAGTATATTGTAGGGAAAAATACATGTGACATTTTATTTAAAAATATATATATGCATATATATATAAATGTGTATATTCATAGATAGATAACCTCATATTTTCTAATTCTGAGAGTCCATGATAATAATTACAGAAAAAAATATAATTTCTTATCACAGAACTAGATCACCAAATGGCATTTTCTCTGTAAAAATGCATCTAAAACCACCAGGTATGTGGTGTTATCAGATCTTTGTTATATGAAAGGTTTATGCCACATAGATGGAAGAACAGAAAAACACTTAAACATGGCACTTGATATAAACTTTAGTGTTAAGTAAGTTCACTATAAAATTCCATCTACGCAATACAAATCTTTTAACTTCCTAGATCTGAACCTCGTTTCCCTTTTTCTTTGTTTTATTTTTTTCACTTTTAAAAACAGAAAAATATTATTTGACAAAGCTAGGTAGGTGATAAGTACAAGTATTCATTATATTAGTCCTTATACACTTCTGTGTGCTTAAAATATTTCTTAATTTACAAAAAATAGCTATTGCGAAAGTCCAAGCAAAAGCTGCTGCAGACCATAGCCCAGGGAGCTGGCCTCTGAGGAAGAGGGAGTGGCCTGAGGAGAGGGCTCAGGGCTGGTGCCGTCCAGCTTGGGGAGAGGGTTAAGGCCCTGAGGGCAGCAGAGGAGTGGGGATGGACATGGGGGAAAGAGAAAGGTGGGTGGCAGTTCTCTGCCCGGTATAGAAGATGGTGCGGTGGGGAGGAATTGAAGAACACACAGGATGTGTGGCCAGGCTGACTCAGAGAAGCCTGTTGGCCAGTGAGAGGGAAGGTGAAAGATAAGTTAGAAGAGAGAGCCAGTTTAGGGAGGAAGATAATGAGTTTAGGTTTAGAAGCATTTAGAAGTGTACAACTGAAGGACAGCTAAGCTTAAGCAGTTGAAGACGAGCATCTGTAGCTCAAAGGAGAGATCAGGACTTAGGGTCACTTGCTGACCCAGAAGAAAATGCCAAGAAGGTTCTGACTCTTAGGAGATACTTTTCTTTACATGGTGAGGGAAAGATGAGGATTCAAAGAAGCCACCGGAGAGGTAGAAGAAATGCCAATATTCCACAGTGCATCAGTCAGGGAGAGCTAGCTGCTGTAACAAAAAAGCCCAATACGAGTTCATTTCTCCCTCCTGAAGGCTGGTGAGGAAGCTCTGCTCCACACGGTCAACCAGGGATGTAGGTGCCTTCTAACTAGTGGCTCTATTATCTTCTACAGCATCTGAGCCCTCCACTGGATCTACACCTGGGCAGCAAATGAGGAGAGAGAACATTGAAAGTGGCACAAGAGGTCAGGCCTGGAAGGGGCAAACTTCATTTCTTCTAGAACCCAGTCACTTGGCTGCCTCTGATTGCAAGACAGGCTGGACAACATAGTCTAGCTCTGTTCTTAGGAGAAAGCAGTTAGGTGAATAACTACTTAGTTTCTTCCAAGAGTCAAGACATGGTGAAATAAAAGTTCTTAATGAATATTGTAAATCCTAGGACAGCTTCCTTAGGGTTCAGAAATTTGGCCCGTCTTCTCTTTCCTAACTGCTACTACCTTTTCTTCTGAATGAGCTTCTTTCTCCCCAAAATCCTTACTGGATTTCTCAAAACAAGCTCCTTCGTCCAGCTGTCATAACATGGAACCAGTGTGCAAGCTGGACTGTATGACTTTCCCGTCTTTCAGTTTCATTTGAGGACATCCAGGCTGACACCAACAAAATGCCTTTAAAAGAATCTGACATTGTACTCTCAAGAAGACAGCAAGAGCACATTTTCAAAGTCCACATTTATCTTTCTGTCAATACCTGGCAGCTGCCTTCTCACTGACGTCCCCTTCAGCTCTCCCTTGACCCAGTTCTCCGTGGCTTTAGTCTTTAGCCCACCCCCTGGTGGTCATTAGTGTCTCCACTGTATAAATTGTGTCTTCTCTGCCAAAAACGTAGAAATCAACAAGTTGGGCCTGAAGTAGGTGAGAGTACGGATCCTCCATATCTCTCTGGTCCCTGATATTTTAGGTCTTGTCCTTTAGCAGTTGAGATGTTTGTGGGGATGGTTTAGAGATGTGGGGGTGGGAGGCTGACAGAAGTGGGGTTCTGCTACATGACAGTAGCTTGAACACAAAAGTAAGCTGAAGCCTACTGCAATGATGGATGTATTTAGATTTGCTCCACAAACCATGAGTGTTTGAAGAGACATTAATAAATGTCATGTGAAAATAATCTATGCTGGGAATAGATTTTTTGCAAATATTTTCATGTAATTTAGTATTGGAGCATTTAGTAATGAAAAGTAAGTTATGTTATTACAAGTTGCAAGAGTCAACTATTAGAAGCTCAATATCCATGAATAAGAGGCGGATGAAATAAACAGCACGAACGATGCTATATCCGCACGAACAAACATTAGGTGGGCATTACAAGAAGTGAAGTTAAGCTGTATCTGTGGATATAGAAACATGTTCTGGATATATTAGATGAAAGAATGCGAGCTATGAAACTCTATCCAGCATGAGCTCATTTGTGTTTGTGTCTGTGTGTGACCATATTAGAAAGACTAGATGAACACACATCAGAATGATCAGAGGGATTCTCTCGGGGGCAATGGGATTAGAGGAGTGGAGGACAAGTCCACTCAATAAAATTAATCAGACTGGCCCTGGAGCCAGACTGCTTGGATCTACGTCTAGCTTCCATCTTGTACGAGCTGTATGATCTCAGGCAAGTTACTTACCTCTGGATCTCAGTTCCCCAGCACAATAATATTACCTCCCTCATAGGTAGTGACATAACACTTGTAAAGTGCAATGCCTAGCATATAGTAAGCACTCCACAAACGCTAGTGTGTGTGAGGGGTGGAATTATGGACAACTTCTACCTTTTCAGAGTGAATTTTTATGTATTTTTCACATAAAATTAATGGACTATAGTTTTAAAAGATTTTAAAACAAACTTTGTACAGTTATTCTTGTAGTAGACATAATCTCCCTTAAAGTTGTGTTCCACTCAACAAAAAGCTACAAACACCAAATTATAAAATAGATCAGTCATGGCAATGAAAGTACAACATAGGAAATATAGTAATAATATTGTAACTTCTTTGTATGTTGACAGATGGCAACTACCATTATCGTGATGAGCATTTAGTAATGTATGTAGTTGTTAAATCACTATGTGGTACACCTGAAACCAATATAATGTTGTATATCACCTATAATTCAATTAAAAATACATGTGCATGTGCTGGGACTGGATTAGGTCAAGGGCAGGCAGACAGCAGTCCAGTCTGGCAGCAGCTGGTGGCGCAGGCGTGGAGATGCAGGGTGGTGGGCCCAAAGGGAAGATCTGTGTCAGAATGGATTGCCCATTGTGCTCTGGGTCTAGCACTCAGGCCAGGGCATTGCATGGAAACACTGCCACCGTGTGGGGTTCCCTTGGTGCTAGCGTTGGGAATCAGCCCTTCCCCTGGAGAAACTGTGTTCTTTGTTTTTCAGAAAGGCTGTAGTTCTCTAATAAACCCCTTTCATTTTTAAAGCATTTACTTCTGGCCATGGCAAGACCAGTCTTAAGTTATCCCTGGTCAGATCTCCGTGGTCAAAGTCTGAGTCCCCATTTCCACCCGACAGGCATCCTCACTACTCAGCTTAAACCGGGACACTGCCACCCAAGGGTGGCTCTCTGGCTGAGATGGCCAAATATGTCCCAAACTTGTTCTGATGCTCATTTGCGGTCCTCTCTTCACTCCCCACACCCAGGAATTGATCTTCTAGAATCCAGCCACTACAGATTTATAATATCAGCATCACTTTCAGTGCTTCCTTTGTTTATTACACCTTCCTAGTGCCTAGTATGGTGTCTGGTCCATGGCAGATGTTTGAAAAACATTTGTGGAATGAATGAATGTGCGCCTGGGAAGAGCGCTCCGGGCTCTCCCATTCCCTCTGTCAGAGTGAAAGGAACGCCAAGAAGGAGGGGAAGTACTGGACAGGTTCCTTCCAGGAAAAGACAGCACACACAGGGTTCAATTGCTGATCGTTTTAACAGGGTTCTTCACAGAGGCGTGGGCAAGGATAGGCAGCCAGCAAGGGCTGATGTTGCAGCCAAACACAGGGGCCTGGCCACACCCCCAGACTTGAAAAAGCAGGGACAGAGAATTGTGTTACTGGAGCCCAGTGAGAACTACAGCCGTGGAGAAGGGCCACCAGCGGGAGCTGTGGCTACGGGGGAAAAGCAAGCCTCAGCGGTCGGGGAGGCAGCAGGGGAAGGTAAATATGCCGACTGATTTCTCCTTCTAGTCTCCAGACTCCTGCCAATATCTCCCTTCGGTCAGACCCAGCAGTAAGCCAGTGAGCTGGGAGCCTGGGTGGTGGAGTCCAGAGGGGTCGGTCTCTCAGGGACAGGGCAGAACTGACCAGGGATAGCATTGGCCAGCGGATGGGGGCAGGAGTGAGGGTGACCAGTGGTCAGGGTCTTCAAAAGCAGCAGAAAAAGCAAGGAGGGGAGGGCTGGGAGGTGGCCATTCATGACCTCTGATGATCAGACCAGTGAGCAGTCAAAGGGCATGAATAACAAAGCCATCTCTAAAAAGTAAAAGAAGAAAGGAAGGAGGAAATACAGGATAATAAATGAGCAGTAATTTAATGGTAAGCGAGACAAGTGAGGGCCTTTCAGGACAGGTGAGACAGCGCCCCCATGAAAGGGGAGGGAAAGCGGGGGAGGTGGGGTGGCTAGAACTTGAAGACACTGGAAGAGAGAGAACAGTGAGCCCCTTGGGATCACCCAGGAGAGTGAGACACTCGGGCACAGAGAGATGGGGGAAGCCAGCCTAGAAAGACAAAATTTCCCAAAGCCACATAGCTAGTAACTAGAGGCCTGTAAGAAGCCAAAACCTGTGTGCTCAAGCCTTATGCTGGGGTTCTAGTTTGTGTCCCACACAGCCTTCCAATCCCCACACTTCACCCCCATGTGTAGCCTAGACATCCTCCCAGCCCAGGCCAGAATCTGGACCAGTTCTGATCCAGTCAAGTGGCAGATGAGGTTCCCCATGCTTCTGCCTCAGCCCCATGATGTTTGTGATGGCTTGTGCCAGGTTCAGAGCCTGGGCCCCTGCCTCTCAGCTCCTGTGTCCTCACCCAGGTCTTCCTTCTGGGTCCACCATCCTGCATGTCTATGCCTGGGCCACCAGCTACTGCCAGACTGGACTGCTGTCTGCGTGCCCTTGACTGAATCCAGTCCCAGCACATGCACATACGCACGCATGCACACTCACTCACTCACTCACTCACTCACTCACTCCTTGGGAGGTGTTCTGCTCTGAAGAGGGGAGTCGTTGGCCCTGAACAGGAGCTGAGATCCTGTTAAGAAAGGGGGAACTTCCTCAGCTGGAAGTACAGAGTGATGGTATAAGAACAAAGAGAGGCTGGAAGAAGATCAAGTCTGAGATGGGTCAGATTTTAGAGAGAGGCTGGGGCTTAAAGGTGAGGGTTTGGACCCAAGAAGGTGAGAAAGTATAAAAGCAAAACAGGACTAAAGAAGGAACTAGGGAGAAGGAAGTCACAGTGGCTGCCTATCAGCAAATGACACATGCGGTCTCTTGTTTGTGTTTGGTGGCCCTAGCCAAGGGTGGGTGGACTCCAGCAATTACTTTCTTCAACTCACTTCTCAGGCAGGTCTGAGGGGCTGTCCCAGTTTGGGCCAATGGTGTACCCTACTAGAGTTTGGCTTGTTCCAGCTGTAAGATGTCTGTTCCCAAGCCCCCTGTTCCAGCCACACCCTTTCCCCAGCCCAGGGCCGGTTTTGGTGCTGGCCATGGTCCTGACCAAAATCTGGTGCTTCTGTAGCTCTCAGGTTGGCTAGAGTAGGGGTGGGGGGATAATGCAGGATCTGAAAGGCATCTAATGGTCTTGATTTAAATTTCTAGGGAAGAGAGAGAGGGGGACTAGAAAGAAGGGTGTGTTTGAGGAGAATGACAATTTGGAATAGTTGCCACAAGAAGTTTACTAGGGAACCTCTGGGCGTTCTGAAAATGATTGCCTTGCAGCTGTGAGGTCTCAGCCAAAATTAGACATCCAGAGCATGCCATGTACCCAGAGTCTTCAGGTCTGGGGCTTCCCCATCATATCCAGGGAGTGTGTCTCCAAGAGACCTGAGTTCTCAGGCAGAATGACTGGCACATATGTGGTGGTTCAATAAATGCAAGCATCAGTGAATGATGGGTTTCAGATGTAATAATAGAGGGGAAAAGATCTCTTTGTCCAAATGTGAAGTGGAAAGTTTCTTTAAACTCATATTTGGCAAAAGGAAAGGGAAGACCCTGTGTTTGGGAGTGGGGTGGGGCAGAAATGTTTCTGTGCTTAGATATGAGGATCAGAGAATTGAAGCAAAAATTAGCACAAGCTAAAAGAAGAGAACATTTGATATGCATGTGCTATGCAGAACGAGTAAAAATTTCTTGGTGCCTGCTATTTTCTATGAGACTTAAAAGAATAGAAAAGAGGAGCTCCTCAGATAGAAAGGAAGTGGGAAGGAGTCAGAGTGGAATGTGAAGAGGCCAGAGAGAAAGATAAAGAATCGAGATTTCTGAATTTGCTTTTGCCTAAGACACAGAAAGCTAGAAACCCATTTAAAATAGCATCAAAGTCATACTTAGAAATTTAACAATATGTGTGAGATTTACATATTGAAAACCACACAAATATTGGTGAGAGAAAACAGGATAGATAAATGGAGACCTAAATTGTGTCCATGGATTGGAAGATTCATTGGTGTTAAGATGTCTAATTTCCCCCAAACTGAAGTATAGATTCAATGTAATCCTAATCAAAAGCCTGGCAGCCTTTTTTTGGGGTGGGGGTAGGGGTATAAATTGACAAGCTGATTCTAAAATTTACATGGCAAAGCAAAGTAACTGCAACAGCCAAAACCATTTTGAAAAAGAACAACACAATTGGGTTACTCACACCATCTGATTTCAAGACTTGGTGTAAAGCCACAGTGAGAAGTCAGGATGGTATGATATTGCTGAAAGGATGGACACAGAGATCAATGGAACAGAAAGGATAGTCAAGAACTAAAACTACATATCAACTGATTTTCAACAAAGATGCTAAGGCAATTCAATGGATAATCTTCTCAACAAATGATACTGGTTCAAGTGGACCATCCATAGGCAAAAAAGAACCACAAATCATATCTTATTTCACAGGGAAAAATTAACAAAGTGGATCATAGACCAAGATGTAAAACCTAAAACTGTAAAACTAACAAAAAACATAGAAGAAAATCTTTGTCACTTTCAAGTGGGCAAAATAGTCTGAGAACAAAAAAAGCACAAATCATAAACAAAAAAATTAATACACTGGACTTCACCAGCATTAAAATATGCCACCATTTAAAAGACACTATTAAGGAAATGATTTTTAAAAAGCTACAGACTAGAAGAAAATATCTGCAAATCATATACCTGAAAAACAAACTCACATCTGGAATATATAAGGAATTCTCACAACTTAATAATGGTAAGAATAAACAATAAAGATGGACAAAAAGTGTGCACTAATATTTTGCCAAAAGAGATACACAGATGGCAAGTAAACAATGAAAAGATGTTCAACGCCATTAGTTATTAGGAAAATTAAATTCAAACCATAATGAGATATCACCCTAAACCTATTAGAACGGTTTAAAAAAAACTTGACAATATCAAGTCTTGACAAGAATACAAAAATACAGTCACTTTGCAAAACAGTGTAACAAGCTTTTATAAAGTTAAACACATGCTTACCATCTGACTAGCACTCCTACTCATAGCATGCTAGCCAAGGGAAATGAAAACATATGTCCATACAAAATACATGTGCCTGAAGGTTTATAGTGGCTTAACTCATAATTGCCCCAAACTCAAATGGCCGTCTGCTGGTGGAACTAACTGTGGCTTAGCCATACAGTGAAATACTCTTCCACAATAAAAAGCAGTGAATTGCTGAGAAACACAACTTCATGCATGTTGAGTGGATGAAGACAAATGAAAGAAGCCAGACCCAAAAAGCTACGTACTGTCTGATTGCGTGTAGATGACATGGTAGAAGGGGCGGGAACCTACAGGAACAGAAGTCACATCAGTATTCACTGGAACATAGATTGGAGAGGAACAGATTGGCTAAAAGGAGCATGAGGGACCTTTTGGGGGCTGAGACAAATGTTCTGTATTTTGATTGTGGTGGCTGTTTCACAGATGCATGAGTTTGCCCAAATTCACAGAACTGGACACCCTATTGGGGTGAATTTTTGTGTCTGTAAATTATATGCTAATAATCCTGATTTGATAAAAAAGAACATCGAGGGGTAATCTATAGAATGGTCTTCAGGTGGCCTCAGAACTCTCATTCTCCAGGCCCTGAGGTCAAAGCTGGGCAGTCAGCTCTCTAAGTGAAGGGCTGTCTTACATTCACTATTAACTCCCCAGCTCCAAGCACATTCACTGTACATATGTAGATGCACAGTAAACATGGGCAAATCAATGAATAAAAGAGCAAATCAGTGAGTGTGTGCAGGAAACCAAAGTAGACCCCTGTGGGCTCCTCGAGCATCTCCTGTACTTCCTCCAGCATGACTCAATTTCCTTCCCCCGGGAGTTACTTCACCCGCCTCCCTCCTGCTTCTCCGACTCACCAGGTCTTTGTGCCTTTTGCATGTGCAGGTCCCTGGGCCTGGATCACCCTTCATAGGACCCACACCTGTGGAGAAAGCAACCCCCACCTCCAGAATTCCAGGAAATGACACATCCTGTTTTGTGCCACAGGATAGTCAGGAGTTCAAGGTGTGTGGGGGCACAAAATAATGCCTGTGTGAGCATGTGCACACAGGAGGCACCCTGCTACACAAAGGAAGCTAAACTTGGGCAGAAGGTGCTGGGTGGGAGTGCAAATTCTGCCTCTTGCAGACAGCCTCTTTTCCCTTTCCCCTGCTGACTAGAATAATAGTACCAGTTATCATTCACTGAGAACTTACTGGGTGCCAGGCCTGTGTCTGTAGAAATCCATGTTATCCTCCCAATAACCCTATACACTAGTGTTATTCCCACTTTATAGACACAGGAACTGAAACACAGAGAAGTTATGGACATGTGGTTGCACACATAGGAAGTGAGGAAGGGGGGACGTGCAGCCACAAATTCTGGCTCCAGCTGTCACATGGCAGGAGTGCTGGTCGGGAGGGAAGGACGGAAGGGCTGGGTGAGGGTCCCGGCCTCCAAGAGGAGCAGCCGCTCTACATCCCTTGCCAGGCTGAACCAGAAGCGGGAGGGAGGTCTGAACACGGCGAAGCTCTGCAGTCCGGGACCCTGACCAGTCTGGCCACCGGGACTCACCCTGCTGGCTTGGGCAGGAGGGCGGGCTCCCCTCTCAGAGGTCTGGAACCCTGAATGTCCTGCTGCCTGGCTGCTGTGGCAGGCTCCTCCTCTCCCCTCTCCCCCCTCCCCATAGCCCTCCCTGAATCATAAAGCCAGACCCTAGTCCTGACCATTGCTCAATCCCCAGGAGCCCAGTTTCCGTGGGCAGCAGTTGATGACCCTCTCTTTTCTGCAGTTTAAGGGAAAACAAGATCTTGCACAAAGTACCCGGTGGCTGCCCTCCACAAGGGGAGGGTGACATGGAGCGGGTCTGGCTGCTCATCCTTTTTTCTGTCACAGGTAGGATCGCCTTCCTCCACCCCATGCCTTCTTTCCTTCCCCCTCCTTGAGTACATGGTGGTCGGGGTGCAGGGAGCACTGAGCCAAGCTAGGAGGTGGTTGAAATCCTCGCTTGTCCTGCACCCCTCACTCCAACCCCGCCTCCAATCTTCACACTCTTCCTGTCTCCCCTTCAGACTCCAGCATAAGGAGGTAAAAGGGGCTGGTGGATTCTGGCCACTGGGAAAGGGAAGGAGGTCTGATGGTGGCATCTTGGGCACTAGCTAGCATTAGGGGGAAGTCTTGGGGGCACTGGTAAGTGCTTCTAACATTGTTAACCGCTTAAGCATAAGACTAGCCCCAGAGGAATGGCAGGGTGGGAGGGAGGAAAGAGAGAGTTAAAGACCTGGGACTGGGAATGTTCATCTTTGGGGTGCCCCCTCTCAGGCTCTGAGGCCCTCTTGTCCTCAGCCCTGGACGGGAGGTGTGGGAGCTGGAGATCTGTGACACTGAGTTGTCGATGACCATCCCAGATTCTTGCACACCGCCTCTTGTCCCCAGAGAGCAGCAGGCAGAGCTCGGGGAGGGGAGAAGCCGCCCAGTGGGGCCTCACCCCTGCGGGTTCCTGGCGGGGGGTGGAGTAGGCATGTGGGTTGCCTGGAGGCAGAGGGATGGACAGGATGCCCTGTGAGCGGGCACTGCCTGTCAGGTCTCTCTGCTTCCTAAGGCAGGCCACCAGCTCCCGCTCCTGCCTTTCAAGTGTCTGTCACCACACGGTTGAAGATGGGCAAAGGGAGGGGGACCATGAAGTCGAAGCGGAGGGCTCTGGGTCACCCCCCTGCAGCCCCTGCCTGGCAACAGACTGTGGTCTAAGCCTGTCTCCCCTACCCAAGGAGGGTCCCCAAAATAGTAGCCTCATGTCTCCCCCAAAATAGCTCTGAGACGAGTCCCTCCTGAGAAGGGGAAGGAAGCCACAGAAATAGGGAAGCTGGAAGTTCAAGGCCAGGGAGAGGGGATGCAGAGCCGGCGCCAGCGTGGGCAGCCCTGCAGAGCAAGCAGGCATGGCTGGGCAGCGGGAGGTGCCCGGGTTGGCCCACTCCCCTGTGGAACTGGCCCCTGGCCCAAGATGGTCACTGGCCCTGCTCTCCAGAGATGGAGAAGGCAAAGGAGAGGTCTTGCTTGCATGTGATAGGGAAAAGGTGTGCAGAATAGAATTTCAAGACCAAATGTTTCTGGAAACAGGCCCAGAGAGGATCAGTCACTTCTTCAAAGATGTCCAGCAAGTCCAACGGTGATAAACCACACCCAGGACTCAAGTTTCCTGGTTCTCCATTTCCCATAAACACATGGGAAGATGTGGCAAAGGGAAGACCAACCTTTTCCCAACTTGTATAAGAACCTGAGCTCCTTAAGGACAGGATTTCTGTCTTTTTTGTTCACTGTGCATAGTAGGTGTTCAGTAATATTTAGTAAATGAAGGAAGGAGTGAATGACTGTCTTTCCACAGAGCTGTCCCAAGCCCACAACACCACAGTGTTCCAGGGCACCGCAGGCCAGTCCCTGCAGGTCTCCTGCCCCTACGACTCCTTGAAGCACTTGGGGAGACGCAAAGCCTGGTGCCGCCAGCTGGATGATGAGGAGGGCACATGTCAGCGAGTGGTCAGTACCCACCGCTCGTGGCTGCTGTCCTTTCTGAAGAGGCGGAATGGGAGCACAGCCATCACGGATGATGCCCTGGGTGGCATGCTCACCATTACACTGCGGAATCTTCAAGCCCACGATGCTGGCCTCTACCAGTGCCAGAGCCTCCGTGGTAGCGAGGCAGATACCCTCCAGAAGGTCCTGGTGGAGGTGCTCGCTGGTGAGTGGAAAGCAGACTGCATCCCTGGCCAGCCTCTGAACCGGGAGTTATGTCTTTGGTGTCTGTGCACAAGACCACCTTCTGGGCTTTCAGGGATCTTGAAAAAAAACCCAGTGTGGACCTTGTCCCCCTGCTCAGAGCCACTGTGGATGGTTGGGCAGGTTGCTCACTGCACAAGGGGGCTGCGCTCCAGCCCTGACATTTCTCACCAGGCTGTGCTCCCTGGTGCTTGACTGCATCACTTGCAGTAAGTGTTAACTAACTACCATTCCCCAATTTGCACAAGGCATCAAATGAGCTGGTTGTGGCCCAGACAGCTTTATCCATTTGGCATCCAGTTAGGACATGAATACTGTAGGTGGTCCTTAAGTTGTAGGAAGAGATTCATTTATTCCCTCACCCCACCACCCCCTGAACCTACCAAAAGAAATTAAGTACTAACCTGGTAAGGAAAGTCCTAGAAAAGACTGCTGCTTGTGAAGCTGGGCAATGTGCCTTCCATGTCCTACCTTTAAGTGGAGGTGGTGGTGTTTGTCCTGCTGACTCCGTGGGGCTCCCATGAAGCACAAATGAGATACAGAGTTAAAAGTGCTTGAGGGTAAGTGATAGTCCCCCTTCAGCCTCCTGCTGCTCATCTGACTTGGGATCCTTATTCCAGGCCTGACTGGGTGAGATGGGTGGTGGTAGTTGCCCCAGCCCCCAAGCTGTGCACAGAGAATGCCCTCCGGGAAAGCCACCTGCCTGTGCTCCAGGACGTGATGTGTCCCAAAGGAGAACAAATCTGGGGTTATGTACCCCTTTTCTCACTCTCCCCTATCCTAACTCCCCCAAACCTGGCTCTTACCATGCAGTGAGGGTGCAGAGTAGTCTTTGTCTAAGGTAGGTAGGGGAGACTCCCTATCTTAGACCCCAAATCCACATCCACCACTTTTCTAACTGGGAAGGGTGAGTAGGGGATGAAAGACATGAATTTCCAGGCCTATCACGGCCTAATCCTAGCTGACTCCCAAGAGTGTGGCAGGAAAATAATAACAGTAATCTGTAGTAGGTGCAGTTTGACGGTTTACACAGGACTTAAAAAAAGTATCAAACACAACCATTATTCCATTTGATCTTCCCAGTTCATCTTGTGATGGGAAGGGGGGCATGGCACTTACTGAGCTCCAGTGAGGTGCTAGGCACTCTGTGGGATGCTCCCTGAATACTGAAACACTGTTGCTACAGAGGGGGTCCCTAATCGCCCCACTTGACAGCTGAGGAAACTGGGGCACAGAGAGGTTAATGGATAGATCCACACGGGACCAGAGCCCCGGGGGCCTCCCTCTACCCAGAGGGATTCTCCCCATGGAGGGTGCCTCAAGGAGTAGGGGACTAGAAGCTCAATGGCTCTGCCTCCCACAGACCCCCTTGATCATCACGATCCGGGAGATCTCTGGATCTCCAAGGAGTTCGAGAGCTTCCGGGATGCTCAGGTGGAGCACAGCATCTCCAGGTACAGTGACAGGTCTTCCCTAAGACCCCGGCAGACTTCCACCCTGCAGAACCCGGGCATGGGGTGGAGGCTGGGGTCCTAGAACTACAAATCCCAAGGCAGCTGGGGCTTAAAAGAGTCTGGATATGATTTTGTCTAAATACCCTGCCAACCAGCCAGTGTACATTGGTGTGACTGCCAGTTGTTAAAATTTTGAAATTTCTTCCATTACAGTTTGGAAATAGCTGTTGCCCAAGACTCCTGGGTAGTCAGTGTCCCACCCTCCCCTGAAAGCCCTTGGACATCCCCACGATTCAGCAACAGTGGGAGTTTGTTCCAGTACTTTAGTATAAAACAGGGACCACAGGGTTCCTGACCTTTGGGAGGTCCAGAATCAGTTCTATTGGCTTCATGCCTGCGTATGGGTGTTTAAACATTGTTAACATAACCATGGGGCACACACATGCACACACACACACAGGGAGGGAGGTCTGAACACGGCGAAGCTCTGCAGTCCGGGACCCTGACCAGTCTGGCCACCGGGACTCACCCTGCTGGCTTGGGCAGGAGGGCGGGCTCCCCTCTCAGAGGTCTGGAACCCTGAATGTCCTGCTGCCTGGCTGCTGTGGCAGGCTCCTCCTCTCCCCTCTCCCCCCTCCCCATAGCCCTCCCTGAATCATAAAGCCAGACCCTAGTCCTGACCATTGCTCAATCCCCAGGAGCCCAGTTTCCGTGGGCAGCAGTTGATGACCCTCTCTTTTCTGCAGTTTAAGGGAAAACAAGATCTTGCACAAAGTACCCGGTGGCTGCCCTCCACAAGGGGAGGGTGACATGGAGCGGGTCTGGCTGCTCATCCTTTTTTCTGTCACAGGTAGGATCGCCTTCCTCCACCCCATGCCTTCTTTCCTTCCCCCTCCTTGAGTACATGGTGGTCGGGGTGCAGGGAGCACTGAGCCAAGCTAGGAGGTGGTTGAAATCCTCGCTTGTCCTGCACCCCTCACTCCAACCCCGCCTCCAATCTTCACACTCTTCCTGTCTCCCCTTCAGACTCCAGCATAAGGAGGTAAAAGGGGCTGGTGGATTCTGGCCACTGGGAAAGGGAAGGAGGTCTGATGGTGGCATCTTGGGCACTAGCTAGCATTAGGGGGAAGTCTTGGGGGCACTGGTAAGTGCTTCTAACATTGTTAACCGCTTAAGCATAAGACTAGCCCCAGAGGAATGGCAGGGTGGGAGGGAGGAAAGAGAGAGTTAAAGACCTGGGACTGGGAATGTTCATCTTTGGGGTGCCCCCTCTCAGGCTCTGAGGCCCTCTTGTCCTCAGCCCTGGACGGGAGGTGTGGGAGCTGGAGATCTGTGACACTGAGTTGTCGATGACCATCCCAGATTCTTGCACACCGCCTCTTGTCCCCAGAGAGCAGCAGGCAGAGCTCGGGGAGGGGAGAAGCCGCCCAGTGGGGCCTCACCCCTGCGGGTTCCTGGCGGGGGGTGGAGTAGGCATGTGGGTTGCCTGGAGGCAGAGGGATGGACAGGATGCCCTGTGAGCGGGCACTGCCTGTCAGGTCTCTCTGCTTCCTAAGGCAGGCCACCAGCTCCCGCTCCTGCCTTTCAAGTGTCTGTCACCACACGGTTGAAGATGGGCAAAGGGAGGGGGACCATGAAGTCGAAGCGGAGGGCTCTGGGTCACCCCCCTGCAGCCCCTGCCTGGCAACAGACTGTGGTCTAAGCCTGTCTCCCCTACCCAAGGAGGGTCCCCAAAATAGTAGCCTCATGTCTCCCCCAAAATAGCTCTGAGACGAGTCCCTCCTGAGAAGGGGAAGGAAGCCACAGAAATAGGGAAGCTGGAAGTTCAAGGCCAGGGAGAGGGGATGCAGAGCCGGCGCCAGCGTGGGCAGCCCTGCAGAGCAAGCAGGCATGGCTGGGCAGCGGGAGGTGCCCGGGTTGGCCCACTCCCCTGTGGAACTGGCCCCTGGCCCAAGATGGTCACTGGCCCTGCTCTCCAGAGATGGAGAAGGCAAAGGAGAGGTCTTGCTTGCATGTGATAGGGAAAAGGTGTGCAGAATAGAATTTCAAGACCAAATGTTTCTGGAAACAGGCCCAGAGAGGATCAGTCACTTCTTCAAAGATGTCCAGCAAGTCCAACGGTGATAAACCACACCCAGGACTCAAGTTTCCTGGTTCTCCATTTCCCATAAACACATGGGAAGATGTGGCAAAGGGAAGACCAACCTTTTCCCAACTTGTATAAGAACCTGAGCTCCTTAAGGACAGGATTTCTGTCTTTTTTGTTCACTGTGCATAGTAGGTGTTCAGTAATATTTAGTAAATGAAGGAAGGAGTGAATGACTGTCTTTCCACAGAGCTGTCCCAAGCCCACAACACCACAGTGTTCCAGGGCACCGCAGGCCAGTCCCTGCAGGTCTCCTGCCCCTACGACTCCTTGAAGCACTTGGGGAGACGCAAAGCCTGGTGCCGCCAGCTGGATGATGAGGAGGGCACATGTCAGCGAGTGGTCAGTACCCACCGCTCGTGGCTGCTGTCCTTTCTGAAGAGGCGGAATGGGAGCACAGCCATCACGGATGATGCCCTGGGTGGCATGCTCACCATTACACTGCGGAATCTTCAAGCCCACGATGCTGGCCTCTACCAGTGCCAGAGCCTCCGTGGTAGCGAGGCAGATACCCTCCAGAAGGTCCTGGTGGAGGTGCTCGCTGGTGAGTGGAAAGCAGACTGCATCCCTGGCCAGCCTCTGAACCGGGAGTTATGTCTTTGGTGTCTGTGCACAAGACCACCTTCTGGGCTTTCAGGGATCTTGAAAAAAAACCCAGTGTGGACCTTGTCCCCCTGCTCAGAGCCACTGTGGATGGTTGGGCAGGTTGCTCACTGCACAAGGGGGCTGCGCTCCAGCCCTGACATTTCTCACCAGGCTGTGCTCCCTGGTGCTTGACTGCATCACTTGCAGTAAGTGTTAACTAACTACCATTCCCCAATTTGCACAAGGCATCAAATGAGCTGGTTGTGGCCCAGACAGCTTTATCCATTTGGCATCCAGTTAGGACATGAATACTGTAGGTGGTCCTTAAGTTGTAGGAAGAGATTCATTTATTCCCTCACCCCACCACCCCCTGAACCTACCAAAAGAAATTAAGTACTAACCTGGTAAGGAAAGTCCTAGAAAAGACTGCTGCTTGTGAAGCTGGGCAATGTGCCTTCCATGTCCTACCTTTAAGTGGAGGTGGTGGTGTTTGTCCTGCTGACTCCGTGGGGCTCCCATGAAGCACAAATGAGATACAGAGTTAAAAGTGCTTGAGGGTAAGTGATAGTCCCCCTTCAGCCTCCTGCTGCTCATCTGACTTGGGATCCTTATTCCAGGCCTGACTGGGTGAGATGGGTGGTGGTAGTTGCCCCAGCCCCCAAGCTGTGCACAGAGAATGCCCTCCGGGAAAGCCACCTGCCTGTGCTCCAGGACGTGATGTGTCCCAAAGGAGAACAAATCTGGGGTTATGTACCCCTTTTCTCACTCTCCCCTATCCTAACTCCCCCAAACCTGGCTCTTACCATGCAGTGAGGGTGCAGAGTAGCCTTTGTCTAAGGTAGGTAGGGGAGACTCCCTATCTTAGACCCCAAATCCACATCCACCACTTTTCTAACTGGGAAGGGTGAGTAGGGGATGAAAGACATGAATTTCCAGGCCTATCACGGCCTAATCCTAGCTGACTCCCAAGAGTGTGGCAGGAAAATAATAACAGTAATCTGTAGTAGGTGCAGTTTGACGGTTTACACAGGACTTAAAAAAAGTATCAAACACAACCATTATTCCATTTGATCTTCCCAGTTCATCTTGTGATGGGAAGGGGGGCATGGCACTTACTGAGCTCCAGTGAGGTGCTAGGCACTCTGTGGGATGCTCCCTGAATACTGAAACACTGTTGCTACAGAGGGGGTCCCTAATCGCCCCACTTGACAGCTGAGGAAACTGGGGCACAGAGAGGTTAATGGATAGATCCACACGGGACCAGAGCCCCGGGGGCCTCCCTCTACCCAGAGGGATTCTCCCCATGGAGGGTGCCTCAAGGAGTAGGGGACTAGAAGCTCAATGGCTCTGCCTCCCACAGACCCCCTTGATCATCACGATCCGGGAGATCTCTGGATCTCCAAGGAGTTCGAGAGCTTCCGGGATGCTCAGGTGGAGCACAGCATCTCCAGGTACAGTGACAGGTCTTCCCTAAGACCCCGGCAGACTTCCACCCTGCAGAACCCGGGCATGGGGTGGAGGCTGGGGTCCTAGAACTACAAATCCCAAGGCAGCTGGGGCTTAAAAGAGTCTGGATATGATTTTGTCTAAATACCCTGCCAACCAGCCAGTGTACATTGGTGTGACTGCCAGTTGTTAAAATTTTGAAATTTCTTCCATTACAGTTTGGAAATAGCTGTTGCCCAAGACTCCTGGGTAGTCAGTGTCCCACCCTCCCCTGAAAGCCCTTGGACATCCCCACGATTCAGCAACAGTGGGAGTTTGTTCCAGTACTTTAGTATAAAACAGGGACCACAGGGTTCCTGACCTTTGGGAGGTCCAGAATCAGTTCTATTGGCTTCATGCCTGCGTATGGGTGTTTAAACATTGTTAACATAACCATGGGGCACACACATGCACACACACACACACGCACACACACGCTCTCCATATGATTCCATCAAGTATAGCAGAAAACTGCTTATCCAGGGAGGAGATGTGTTTAAATGTATTCAGCAGGTAGACTTATGCCCAGAACACAGGTCTTCTGATTGTAGTTCCTCGAAGCCCCACAAAGCCCCATCCCAGGCATTGTGCTGAGTGAGGAGGTGTCCTGAGTCCATGGAAGCTCCAGGTGTCTCCATTCCTTCTCTGAGGGCAGATTCCAGGCTGTAGGCCACCTCGAGGCCTCCCACATGCTGTCCTTGTATCTCCAAGGAGCCTGTCAGAAGAGGAGAGCCCCTTCCCACCCACTTCCATCCTTCTCCTTCTGGCCTGCATCTTTCTCAGCAAGTTACTAGTAGCCAGTGCCCTCTGGGCTGCAGCCTGGTGTGGGCAGCCACTGAGGACACCCCCAGGCATTGGTCTGGACTGTGGCCATGACCCAGGCTACCAGCTCCAGACCCTAACAGGTGAGCTTGCAGAGCACAGTGGTGGCTGGGAGCAGGGGGGCAGCAATGGCAAGGTGAGGCTGAGAGGGCCGTGTGAGAATGTGGTCTATTGCAGGGCGGAGAGAAACATGAGAGCAGAGGACCCTGCCCAGGAGGAGAGGTGGCAGAGATCTGCAGAGCCCCCTCCAGCCCCCCACAGCCTGCACACCTGCCTCAGCCACCAAGACTCCTGCTTGTGCTTTGGCAAAAGGCCACTTTGCCTGTACCCTGCTTCCCCTGACCCTTGGAAGGAGGTGTATGTGTGTGCATGTGCATGTGCATGTGCATGTGTGCCTGGGAGATGGGGAGGACATTTGTCATTGGACTTCTGAACATTGGACATTGAACACTCTTGCAAATAAATCCAAGACTTCATGTTTAACTGGATGGTTTTGGGCTTCATGAAAGTCTTCTCTTTTGCTACAGGACTAGGAGAATGAATTTGGTTGAAGCAAACATGAAAGGTCTGGCTCCTTGGTGCTGGTGTCCTAGCCTACCACTTCCATTGCCACAGACTCCCAACCAGCCACTCTTTCTTCTCCAGATTCAATGACCAAATCCTGCCTTTTCCTCTGGAATTTTTCCCATGTCCAGTCTTCCTCTCCTCTTCTTGTCTCCTGTCCGTCAGTCAGTTCCTTGGGATCACTGCTGGCTCCCCCCCTCCACCTCTCCCTGCACGAGCCCATCTGATTCCCTGGTTCATCCTTTGTTTCCTGAGAGCTTAGCCTTTATCCTGTTGCTCCCCCACCAAAGAAATGACAAGAGTTGAATGTAGACTGCAGCATTCCAGAGCTGGAACTACTGAACCACGATCCTCGTTGTACAGAGGGGAAACTGAGGCTCAGAAGGGAAAGGATTTACCCAGTCTCTGGCAGAGCCTGGAAATCCAAATTTTGCTTGGTGTTCAAGGTGTCCTTCCCTCTAGCTCCCTCCTGCTCCTTCAGTCATTGATTATTCAACAGGTATTTTCTGTGCAAGGTACTGTTCTGGGCATTAGAGGCACAGCAGTAAAATAAACAGGCAAAGATTTGTGCCCAATGGAGAGCCAAGTTGTAAAGGGCGGAGAAGGGCGACAACCAGATGGTGTGTGAAAAGGCAAAACTGCTGAGGAAAAATTAAAATGAAGCAGGGTTGGGGGCCTCAGGAACACAGAAGGGACAGGGCATGATGTGACTGTAAAGGAGGGTCAGGAGGTCCCATTTGAGAAGCACTTGGAGGGGTCAAGGAAGCGAATCATGAGGCTCTCCGGGGGCAGAGTATTCTGGGAAGATGGAACAGCCAGGGCAGCCCAGGGAACCTCATCTCTCTCTTCAATACACATACATACCCGTCCAAGAGTGAGGGGGACCTGGCGGAAGACTTCCCCAGGTGTGCCACCTGGAAGATGGGGAAACAAGGCGACCACATCCTCCAGCTGTCTCTCCTGCATCTCAGGAAGGTGGAAGTGCAGGAAACCCTCTAGCCAAGGCCACATGTGGCTGCTTTGTCCCCTAATGTGGGCATGGGTGCCCAGAAGGGACCCCCAGTGCTGCCCTTGTGTCCCAGCCGCAGGGACACATCATTGGGCCCCAGGCCTGCCGCAGCACTGCCCCACCCCATCCCTGGGCTGCTGCCTGGAGTGTGTTCCGGCCCAACCTCTTTCCCCGGCCCCCTGACTCAGCAGCACGTGATGCTTTCAGCGCTTCCCGGCCCTGGTCTCCTTCGCATGGACCTTGGCCCTAGCCTAGGATCCAGGCCAGAGCCAGCTCCGCCTCTGCCTCCCTGGTGCCCCCTCAGGGCACCGATGCTGATGAGATGGTAGGGGAGGAGGCAGCTCCGGCAAGGCTGCGGCCTTCCTGCTCTCGGGAGCTTGCCCTTTCTCTTTCCTGGTCTGCTACGTTGGGGACATCCACCTCGGGGTTTGGATTGCCATTGGGATCCCCTGCCCTTGGACTCTGGGGCACACACTGGACTAAAAAGGGGGTCTGATAATTCGGTTGCAAACTTCAGCTTTTCCTATGAAACCGTAAGCAAGCTCCTTCATTTCTCTGCTCCTCAGAATCCCCACCTATTAAAAAACAAAACATCCCTGCTTTGCTGGGTTTTCATGAGGTTGAATGAAACACCATTAATGAAAGGCTTTGGCTAGATGCCTGTCACATCATAGGTCCTGGATTATCCCCGGCTTCAGCACAAAGGGATGCGACACCTCCCTAGAGGCCAGCGTCCTGCCTGGGCACCTCTGTCCTGGCATCCAGCAGTAGACTGTTCCATTTCAGGCACTCAGTTACCTAACTGAGGACAGGTCTCTCTGTCACACAACACTCCCATGTGGCTATGAGTCTGTAAATAATTTTGTTGTAAGGGAATCAAAGAAAGCCTGACACATATTGGCAGGACAGATATCGGTCCTTCCACATCACCTGCTAGGGTGACCCATCTGTCTGGTTTGCCCCAGACTTTGCCAGTGTTAGTACTGAAAGTCCCATGTCCTGGGAAAACCCTCAGTCCCAGGCAAACAGGGATAGCCGGTCACCCCTTTTCCACTTCCACTAGGTTCAGCCTAACACATTTTCCGGCTCTCTCTGGCTCCTGCTCCCAGTTTCCCAGCTCAACTCCCTGCTCCTGAAGGAAGGGGGGAGGCAGAGAGAGGGAAGGAGAGAAAGGAGGGAGCGGCTGGAGGGAGGGTGGTTTCTCTAGCCCCCTTTCTAGGTGTGACTGCCCAGCCCAGGGCAGTGCCCCCCCCCGCCCAGTCACCCACTGCCGGCTCTGGTGGTCTGAGCACGGATGCCCCCTGGTGATCCAGGGCAGGACCTTTATTACTTACATTCTCTGCAGGATCTCCCAACCCCAAGTCTGCACAGGGTGACATGAATGAGGGCCAGATGTTTCCTGTACAGGCAGTGGGTTTGTGTCATGGGAGAGGAACCCAAATTATGAGACTGGGAGCTTATATACAGCATCTGGCACATTGGCCCTTCTTCTCCGGGGAGAGAGAGAGCTTCACTCCAGAAGGTAAGCAGATCTCCAGGGAGAGAGGGGAAGGATGAAAGCAAGTCTCTCTGGAGCTGATACACTGTCTTCGGCTTCCAAGGCGTGTTTGCTCCTCAGTCACCCTGGAACAAAGCTTGGTCAGTGCCCTTTGCTCAGAAGGCCCAGCCCCTGCAGGAATGTGAAAACAGGCGCAGAGAATTGTCTCCCAACAGAGAGGGTAGTGCATTCCTGAACAAAAATAATATGCTATAAATAAGAAATGCTTGGAAACTAATAAATCTTGTAAATTAGAAACACTAAGGAATAAAAATTCAAAAGATGATAATAGAAGGGATGGAAGAAAAAGATGAGGCTATCTTCTAGAAATCAGAACAAAGTGGGCAGAAAGATGGAAAAAGAGAGAAAAGAAAACAAGATGAATACATGAGGTTCAGTGAACAACTAATTAAGGAGTTCCGAGGGAAAAAAAAAGAGGCGAGAAAAAGAAAATGGAAAAATAATTATGGAAGAGTAATACAATTCCCAGAACTGAGGAAACCGAGTCCACACTGAAAGGGTCTGGAGGGCACCCAGCACAATAAATGAAGGCAGAAGGGGTCCAGGGCACCCTGTCAGGGTGGGGCTTCCTGCTGTGAGGTCGTACAGCCGAGGAGGGAGCTCCGGTGGGGGCACTCCCAGTTTTGGAATCAGAAAAGCCTTTTGCCTTCCTCCTCTGCAGCCCTGCATCCTCGGATTCTGTGTTGGGAGGGCCCTGAAGATCCTCTTCCCTCTTTCCCTATTGATCCTCCTCCTACCTCCTTCTCAGCGGGGTCCCAGGCCCCCAGGCTTCTGTGCTTTCCTCGGCCTTATCCCCACCCGCAGTGGGGCCCACCAGTGCCTGCCTCCCACCCCGAGGTCACCGAGAGCCCCACGTGATGCTTGGAGGCAGATGTTTCCTGCCCCCAGGGAATACCGTCAGTGCCCAGGCAGGCTGCAGAGCTGTGTCTCCCTGCCCAGCCATGGGCCCCAACCTGCTCCTGCTGCTGTTCCTGGGACTAGCAGGTAAGGTCAGAAGGAGCTGCACCCTGGGCCCCATGCACTCCACCAGGCCCTGGCATAACTGGCGTTATCATTGCAACAGTAAGGTGTGTAGGGCCCAGAAGGTGGACCTCCAGGTCCCTGTGCCCCTGTGCCAGTGGGTGGACCGGGAGGTGCCCGCACTCACGGCCCGCACTCCCACCACCTTCCCTCCCCCAGGACAGGGCTCGGCCACCAGCCTCCCCGAGGCGCTGCAGGCACCTGTGGGGGGCGCCATCCTGGTGCAGTGCCACTACCGGCTCCAGGACATCAGGGCTCCGAAGGTGTGGTGCCGTTTCCTGCCGGAGGGGTGCCAGCCCTTGGTGTCCTCTGCTGTGGATCGCGGAGCCCCAGGGGACGGGCGCATGTTCCTCACCGACTTGGGGGGTGGCCTGCTCCAGGTGGAGATGATCGGCCTGCGGGAGGAGGACTCCGGGGAGTACGGCTGCGTGGTGGAGGGGTCCGCAGGGCCCCTGACGGTGCACAGAGTAGCTCTGGACGTGTTCCCTCCAGGTGAGCTATCCTAGGCCTGCCACTGCGTCTGACCTGCCCTCCCCGCCTCCACCTGCTGCTCCTGGGGCCCTGGGGGTTGGGAGAGGGGCCTTGTGGGGAGGCACTGGGAGGAGAGATCCTTTTGACAGCTCTGCAGGGAGCGGAAACCAGACTGGGTGAGAAGTCTGAGATAAACCGCCCAACAGCTGTCCCCTCCCACCTTCCACACCAAGTCGGTGTCCCCACAGGAAGGCCTCCTGCCCTGCCCATGGCCTTGACCTCCGCATCCAACATTCTCAACATATCTGATGCTATTTTTTTCCCTTAGAAATACTTTAAACAAAGTTTTAATTCAGCCGTGTCAACTGGAATTAACTTTTTACATCTTTCAGGAATAATGGGTTTGACCACGTAAAATTACTGAATGTGTATTTTATTTAATTTTATGTCTTCACTGAGCATCTAGTATATGCCTCACCTATAGGCAGGATCCCTTCAATGCCTGAATTACTTAAACTTACTCAGTTTTTCAAACGGAAAAAGTGTCATTAACAGTTCAGCCAATATTCTCAACCTTATTTTCAGTATAGAAAGGACTTTATTTTTACAGTTTGTCACAGCCTACAACTTTCTGATGTCCAGGCATTTATTAAAAGGAAGTTTTAAAGTATTAAAGATAATTTTTTTCCAGAAAAATAGGATGTTCCCATTAAAAAATGTTCTGGAGAGAAAGCGGCCAGCTCCCTGCTGACGCAGAGACCACTACTACCTTTCTCTCAGGCATGCTGACAGTTTTTGTTTTCAGGTTTCCTTTTTCAGGTAATCTGTGCCCAGTCCCCAAATAATGAAATTAAGAAAGGTGTTTTTCCCCATCTGTTAATTATGAGGATGGACTAAGTTATCATTAGAATTCCTCTCATCTCAAGTCCATGATTATTATTCTATATTATAAATAGACTCCTGTTGAGCCTGGTCATTGTTTGCCCTTCTTCCTTGACACTACACGGTCGAGCAACTCAAGACGAGATGCCCTGGGAAGAGGGGACAGGGAGATGGGCGCCTGCAATGGGGTAGGGGCAGGGGCAGGGGACCCTGACGGCTGTAGAAGATGGGTGTTCAGCAGCCAGGTGGAGCGTGGTATCTGGGAGGAGGTGGGTGGCTGAAACTGCACCAGGAGGGCAGGACATGACGCAGCAAGACTGGGGCCGCTGCCTCTCTAGGTCCTGGTGTGGCACATGGAGAGCAGGAATGGGGACTCTCTAAGAACATGGCAAGACCCCCTCCTAGAGGCTCTAGAAAGATTGGCCAGGCCCCCAGGGCAGATCCTCAGGCCCAGAGAAACCAACCCTGAGTCCCACAGCCAGGAGTTGAGCATGTTTTATAGAGGTGACAGAAGCCTTGTCACAAAGCCAAGTCTTGGGGTCTGAGCAATGCTCCTCTGCAAGGGTCAGTTGGAATTGTCACATCTGGGCTGACCCTACAGTCCCTTAGACTTTAAGGGAAGAGCTTGAGGTGGGGCTCAAGCAGCCTGCAGGGGTCACACGGTTGCAGACGTGTGGAAAGGTCTAGCAGGTTGTGCTGAGGCCCTGCTAAAGACTAACTGATGAGAGCTAGGAGCACGGTGGCCACCGAGGATGAGAGTGGAGAAAGCTACTCTGGGATGGTGTAAGGAGGTGGGCACAGCTTACCAGTGGGTGATCTGCATGGTCTGAGCAGCCTGATGAAATGAGAGGGGTATGGGGGCAGCAGGTGAAGGAGAGGAAAAGCAGGGCGCAGGGCTGGGAGCTGGGGGGAGTGGGCACATTCACAGCCAGGTGAAGACATGGAGCGCCATGCCCTCCAGAATGAGAGGCCCCTAAGGAGTATCCCAGGCCTCCCCTTCTTTGTATTTCTAATTCCAGAGCTCTCTTTCCTCGGCTCGCCAAGCGCCTCAGATCTCAACAGGCCCTTGAACCCTTGAACCCTGCCCACAATGGGTATGTGCTCATTAAACATTTCCTTCTGACTCAGCTTCTGGCCTGAAAGAGGAGGAAGAGGAAGAGGAGAAAGAGAAGACCCATAAGGTTGGGAGTCTGGCTGACAGCCCCTTCATGGACCCCGTGGGCAGTGCCAGCCCTCTGGAACCCAGATGGGATGAGAAGAGGTATTGACTAGAACTATGTCTGGGTGGTTGGGAAAAGGGTGGTGGTGAAGATAAGGCTGTGTTGATCCCTAGACGAAGTCAAAGGGAAACCTTAGGATTCTTTCCACCCCTGGGGAACTTCTGATCAGGCAGGTAGACAGACAGATGCACCTCTCCCTCCCGGCTCAGCAATGGTTCCTTCATCCTGGTAGGTCTCCGGCCAGGGTCCCCTGCCAGCACGTCCTCTCTGTCTGCCTCAGTCTGGCCCCCTCATTCCATCCCAAGGATCTCCTCCTAACCATGGCTCACCAAGAAGCGCACCCTCTGCCACTGCTCCAGGATTCCTGGCGAGCAGCTCCCCTCCAGGTTCAGGACTAAGCTTGCCTGTCCCCTTGTGTCCCTCAGCATCCCCTTGATCTGGGGCACTGTGGTCCTGCTGGGCCTGCTGGTGGTGGCTGTGGTGCTGTTTGCTGTGATGGTCAAAAGGAAAGGTAGGTACAGGTGACCTGCCTACCCCAGCCTGGCCCCATGGTCCTGTACCAGCCAGTTGTGCAGATGGGGCTGGGGATCCAGGTCTGCTTCCCCAAAAGATGGGCTTGTCTGGAGTTTGCTAAGCCCTCCGGACCCTAAAGTTCCCATGGCTGAGGGGTGGAGAGGAGGAAGGAGAGTCCGTGGGAGCTGGCTCCGGGGAAGGCAGGAGCTGGAAAGGGTAGGACAGTGGTACTGGGGACAGATGACTGGAGAAGGCAGGCAGAAGGGGTCCCAGGGACAGGCTGAGGGCTGAGGTCTGCTGGGGGAGCTCTATGGAAGCGGAAGTGGGTGGGGAGACACAGGGCAGGCCGAGGGGGGCGCTTCAGAGGTCAAGGGGGAAGGATTTGCAGGTTGGGGTGGGGAAGGTGAGTCTGGGCAAGGAAAGAGGTTTCAGAGATTTCTGAAGGGGGTGTGAGGATGGGCTTTGAGCCAGCGCAGGGAGCGGACTGTACTCACCTTCTTTGTCCTGTAGGGAACAGGCCTGGTGTCTGCAGCTCCCTTCAGAGCAGTGGAGTTTCAGGCATGGTAAGAGGCCTTTCAGGCCCGCAGCCAAATTCCCCAGCCCCTCTATCTGCCGGGCTCACTGAGGGGTCCCTTGATGATGGGGTGGAGAAAGGACCAGGACCCAGTCAGGGTCCAGACCCTCTGCCCAGACGCTGTGAGCTTCGCACCAATAGACTCCCCCTTTCCCACCTTGGTATCCCACTGTCCCAGATTTAGGAAGGAATTTGGGCCTAGAAAATCTTCAGAGTGAAGTCTTCTTGCCCACTGACATACTCAGGATTCGAGACAGAGCTGGTATGGCCCAAGGCCTCCCAGCAGGGGAACTGGGGCTGAGGGAGGCATTTGCTCTCTGCCTCACTTTCCTGCTTTTGTTGCAGGTGCCCTCCTCGGTGGTGCACCACGTCAGGGACTCGGAAGTGGCTGCTCATTTCCCATCGGACATACAGTATGTTAGGCTCGACTCACCACCTTCCTTCGACAATACCACCTATACTGGCCTACCTCTTGATCCCCCATCAGGGAACCCCCCACCCCCGCCTCCATCTTCATCACCCCCTCTGCCTCCTAAGGTCCTCTGCTCCAGGCCCATGACAGACACCTTCCCTGGAGGGGACAAGGGTGGAGGGGCCTCCTGTGAGCCAGCCCAGGATTCATCTGATAGCCAGACGCCCCCCAGCTAAGCTGCTCACGGCACCACACACTCACAGGACAGCCCAGGTGCTGTGCATCCAGCTGGCCCAGGCCCTGGGTCCTTGGATATCAGAGCCACTAGATCCTTTAGGATCTAATATAATGCCTTATGTCTTGACTTTTCTGACCTGGAAGATGATCCCTGAATATGATTAAGGTGTCTTGGGAAGCCCCCTGCTGGTCCTTCTGATGTTACACCACTGGGCTAAATAAACTCTTAAGTGTTAATACCTAAGCTCTTGAGGGTTGAGGGGCAAGGAAAGGGCCCAAATTTGGCTATTACATAGCCTGTGAACTGAACAGACTCTGGTCCAGAGCTCGTGCTGTGTGATCCCATGCCTGTCCTGCCAGGGGAAAGTGGTTTAATTCCCTGGTCTGAATACTGCAGTGCAGTTGAGTCAAGGGGCACCAAGAAGTCTTCAAAAGCATTGCCTGCCTTTCTCACAATAACTGACACACAGATTCATTTGCTTAAGTCGAGGCAATCTTCTGTTTTCTGCTCTGTACTCTGTAAACAAATGACATCTAATGATGTACCAACATAAGATGGGAGGAGGGGGATAATGACTAGTTCAAGGAGACTCAGGACACACGGGTGTGAGATGGGGCTGAAGAGAAATAGGTCTAAGGTCAGAAAGTGAAACAGATACCAAGATCCAGGAAGCAAATGACCTTTGTAGGCATAAGTTTACCACAGCAGGTCCTCTCACGTGGGTGGCCCTCTGGTGGCACTGTTCCCTTTGGCCTAAACCCTGGGAGGAGCCCAGGGAGAAAAGGTATGGGGTGGGGGAAAGGGGAATGAATGAACAGGCTGTGGCCATGGCTGTGTGTAAATGAAGGCCAGTCCAGGCTGGGGTGGGTGGGTGTCTAAGGTTTCTGCCAGGATTTCTTCTGGAATTACTCAATTTGAAAATATTTGTCTCTATTGAGAAGAGAGACTCAAGGGAAGAGGATGAGGTTGCTCAGGAACCCAGTCTTCTTTTTTTTTTTTAATTTTGATACCGTTAATGTATAATTACTTGAACAACATTATGGTTACTAGACTCCCCCCATTATCAAGTCCCCCCCACATAACCCATTACAGTCACTGTCCATCAGCGTAGTCAGATGCTATAGAATCATTACTTATCCTCTCTGTATATACTGCCTTCCCCTCTACCTGCCTGCTATAGTATGTGTGCTAATTGTAATGCCCGGTTTTACCCCTTATCGCTCCCTTCTCACCCATCCTCCCCAGTCCCTTTCCCATTAGTAACTGTTGGTCCATTCTTGGGTTCTGTGAGTCTGCTGCTGTTTTGTTCCTTCAGGTTTTTCTTTGTTCTTATACTCCACAGATGAGTGAAATCATTTGATACTTGTCTCTCTCCACCTGGCTTATTTCACTGAGCATAATACCCTCTAGCTCCATCCACGTTGTAGCAAATGGTAGGATTTGTTTTCTTCTTATAGCTGAACAATACTCCATTGTGTATATGTACCACACCTTCTTTATCCATTCATCTACTGATGGACACTTAGGTTGCTTCTATTTCTTGGCTATTGTAAATAGTGCTGCAATAAACATAGGGGTGCATATGTCTTTTTCAAACTGGGCTGCTGCATTCTTAGGGTAAATTCCTAGGAGTGGAATTCCTGGGTCAAATGGTATTTCTATTTTTAGTTTTTTGAGAAACCTCCATACTGCTTTCCACAATGGTTGAACTAGTTTACATTCCCACCAGCAGTGTAGGAGGAGGAACCCAGTCTTCTTACGAACACACAGAGGTAGGCATAAAGAGGTTTTTCACCATGTGGGGGGCCCTAAGTTTGGTCAAGACACCTGAGGAGAAGGGACCGGCAGGAGCTCTGCTCTGGGCTCTCGCTGGTTAGCCGAGTGATGCTATTTTCAGAGAACGCTGGCAGGATGTTCTGAGCTTCCTGTGATAGTTTCAGCCTGTGACAATCTAAACTTACTTATGTTTGTTGTGGACGCAGCAGCAGCCTGCCAATCAACTAAGCCTCATTTTCCTTAGCTAGGATGACTGGGCTGGCCTGGTGGGGAGATGGCAGCCTGTAGGAGGCTGTGGGGGAAGGGTAGAGTATAGTCTAAGAAGAGCCCCTCTGGGAAAAACTTACCCTGGTCTGAATGTATTCTGAACTTTTTAGAACTTGACAGGAGTAAAAGTATACTGAACAATATAAAGGAAAATACTCAGTAATCAATTGACTGGGAGTGAACAGGTAAGGAGGAAGAAGAAATTTATTAATTCTGTTATTGCTCGTGGTAGGAAATCTAAATACCAACCAGAGTCATAGATATAAAAGTAACTTCCAAGGTGAAAATACTGATCTTCTAAGTTTTATCGTAAGAAACATGAAAACAGAGCACAGAAAACGCAGGTGACACGGGTCCATATCAGAACTTTCAGAATCAATTACAACCCTTAACAAACTTACAACCCTTAATCCAGCTTTTCACAATGAGAATTAAGCATCTTACTCAAATAGCTAGTTAATTTTAAAGGGGAAAATGATATAACTAATACATAATTTATTCCTTGAAACAAAATGAAATAAAAGAGACAAAGTGTCGATTAGCTAGCTGACTCATGAAGAAGGATGGAATAAGAAATGACACGGGGGAAATAACCATAGGTATAAAAACAGTGAAAAAAAAGACTTTTGTGCTGGTGGTCGTGGAGTGGGAATGACTGTAAAAGGGCCTGAAGGAACTTGTGAGGTGACTGAACTGTTCTCTGTCATGGCTGCAAAGTGGTTACATGTGTGTAAACATTTGTGAAACCTATCATTAAAATAGGTGTGCTTTCTTATATGCAAATTTTATTTTGATAAGTTCGATTTAAAAAAATACTTGAAGGCCATTGGGTAAGTTAAATAATCTTAGAGTGGAAGAAGCTTGTTGATGTAATACATACAACTCAGGAGCCATAAAAGAATTCACAGATATGTTAAAACTGACACATTAAAATAAGAACAGACCAACACCTTTTTCTCTGTGACAAGGGTATCATAACCAAAGACAATACCAAGTGAGGAACAATTTTGGAACTCATACAAAGACATCCTACAAATTCAATTGGAAAACAAATAACTTAATATTGTCACAGAATATATACATATAGCTCCCACAAAAGGAAATAATAAACACAGTAAAGATGATTAACTTCATGTAAGGGAAATGCAAATTAAAAGTACACTGAGAGTAATTTAAAAGAAGATAAAGAACTCTGAAGATTATCTTCTCCATAAACACACAAAAATAACCGGCAAAAATAGGAGTAACTTTCAGAACTTCAGAAATTAACCAATGGCTTGCATCAATACATGGAGTGTTTACTTTAAAAAAAAAAGACTTTCCTCCCGTCTTACTGATTTAAAAGACAACTTCAAAAGCCATACTGATACATCTGTGTTGATGGACACACCATTTATAAGGATGTAAATTTTATGACAATAGTAATATGAAGGAAGGAGGAGGGAATGGAGCTATTAAGAGCAAAGTTTTTGTATATTACTGAAATTAAGTTGGTATTAATCTGAACTAGATTGTTTTAAAGTAAAATGCTAATTGTAATTCTTTCAGTGAGAAAACCCTAAATTATATAGTAAAAGGGAATTAAAATTAAATTTAAATTTAAATTATTTGATATAACAAAAGACAGTGGAGGAATAGAGGTTTAAAAGACATAAGACAAGTAGAAAACAAATAAGATGGTGGACATAAATCCTACCTTATCGGTAAGTATACTGAATGTAAACATATTGAACATTCCAATTAAAAGGAAGAGATTGGCAGAATGGATTAATAAACACAGATCCAACTACATGCTGCCTATAGGAGACAAACTTTAGATTAAAAAACACAAGTAACCAACATAAGATTATATACCAACAACATTTTAATAAAAAAAACAAGTATGTAGAAAGTAAAAGGATAGAAAAACATATATCATACAAACTAGCTAAAAAGAGCTGGACTGGTTATACTAATATCAAAAAAATAGATTTTGAGGCAAAAATTGTTACTAGAGACAAAATAAGTACATGTTATAATGATAAAAGAGTTGATCTTCAAGAAGCTATAATTATTAAAGATACAGGTACATAAAGACAGAGTTTCAAAATATACAAAGCAAAAACTGACAAAGGGAGAAACAAACAATAACAGTTGTAGACTTCAATATTCCACTTTTAATAATGGATAGAAGTTGATAGAAGATTAGCAAGGAAATAGTAGACATGAACAACACTACAAACCCACTAGACCAAATAGACCTCTGTAGAACATTGCACCCAACAGCATAATACACATTTTTCCAAGTGTACATGCAACATTCTCCAGAATAGACTATGTTTGACCATAAACAAGTCTTTAAATTGTTTCAAAAAGAGTTTAAGAGGATTGACATCATACTCTGGCCATAGTGGAATGAAACTAGAAGTCAGTAACAGAAGTAAACTTTGGAAACTTGCAAATATAAGGAAAGTAAACAATATACTCCTAAATAACAAATGGCTCAAAGAAGAAATCACAAGAGAAATTAGAAATACTTTGGGATGAATGAATATACAAAACCATGACATACCGAAACTCAAGGAATTTGGCAAAATCAGTGTTTAGAGGGAAATTTATAGCTATAAACACCTATATTAAACTATAGCTATAAACAAAGCTATATTAAGAAAGAAACTAGTCTCACATCAATAAGTTAACCTTCTACCTGAAGAAACTAGAAACAGAAGAGCATACTAAACCCAAAGCAAGCAGAAGGAAGTAAATAAAAAAGATTAGAGCAGAAATGAATGATATAGAGAACAGAAAAATAACAGAAAACAATTTCAACAAAACCAAGAGTTGGTTCTTTGGAAAGATCAACAAAATTGACAAACGTTAGCCAGAATGGCCAAGAAACAGAGAGAAGACTCAAATTACTAAATCAGGAATGAAAATGGAGGGAGAACTACTGACCTTATGAGATAAAAAGGATATTATAAGGAATACTGTGAACAGTTGTGTACACACAAATTAGATAATACAGATGAAATAGACAAATTCCTAGAAAGATACAAACTACTGAAATTGACCCAAGAAGAAACAGAAAACCTGAATAGATTTATAAAAAATAAAAAAGTTTAAATAATAAAAAGAAAAGTTCCCACAAAGAGAATTCCAAGTCCAGATGGCTTCACTGGTGAATTCTGCCAAACACTGAAAGAATTTTAA